TGCCGCGCCAAAACGCCGGAGGTCTGGTGCGCGACATTTCAGGAAATTTCTGGGCGAGGTATTCGTTTTCATACAGTCACTGCCACAGCGCGGCACACCAGTATCTAGAACCAACAGTGCAAAATACGCCTTCTTCAGCAAAATGCAGCTTCTGAGTCCGAGTCCTCAATAAGCGCCGGAATTAAGTTGCTGTTTGTAGCGATAGCAAGCGCCACGTTGCAAAACAGAATATTGAGAAATGAGTTATTTGTTTCTGGCAATCCATTTTAGTTCAAGACATCCTTATATAGGTAAAGTTGACAACAAATTTGACGCGAGATGAGAAAATCCTATTTTTTTATACTTCGTATATACTTTCTAAACGGGCCACCATTCAAGGTAGTAAGTTTGTTAACATCTTCACCCAACTCCAGCTTCTCAGCCCGTTGACCAAAAATTGTACCGGTAAAGATTGCTCATCTTTCTAATTGATATGCCCGCTTGGCATGGGCTAGCCCTGGTAACTAACTGGAGAGCGTTTGCAATCCAGGTACACGGCTTCGTGTTGTCTGAAAACGCAAATGCATAGTGAGATACAGCCCAGGCAGCAGAGCCGACAGCCACATTCACCTTTGATGTTCTTCTGCTAATCCCCCCCCCCCCCCCCTGCCTCCGACTGGAGCGTTGCCACGGCTTTCACTGAAATTTATTACCTGTACACAACAGCGCGTAAATGGGACAGAAGTTTCTCCTGCTTCGGAAGGCTCTACGTAAATGATAACAAATTGTATATATTTTCATGAAATGCCTACAACTGAATGCCGCAAATGTTATCAACCCTTACAGTTACAATAAGAGAAGAGATGAGATGAGATGAGATACAGTTACCATAAAAAAACAATGAGCACTGACGCGACAACCTCATCACGACGCACAAATGTAATGCATGGTGTGACCTGGTCTACAACCATATGAGTCGAGAAGCGTATGAAAAACTGGATTGTGTGATAGAGCATATCATATTGTTAGTTGGAAGATACCCTTGTGAATAGTTTGGCACAAGTGTGTGTGAGCTTTGTTTGAGGGCTGTCACACCACGAAACCGACTGACCCATTATGCAGGGGTTAGCTTGGCCAACAATCAAGGCGGAAGAGAACGCATAGATCGAGACTCAGCCGCCAGTGTCACTAACACGTTTGGACGCGGTTTTTAACGAGCACTGACCGCTGGTCGACTCCCTGTCGACAAACTTTAGAAGAAAGTTGCTGTATTGCGCCCTCCTGATTAATTACACCCACGTACATTTCCACCTGTCTGCCGTATATTTCACTCTCCTCTACTTCGAAAACAAGTTGTCATCACGAGAGTGAAGCGAGCTCCGAGCCATTAGGGCGCAGATTGGCGAATGAAAGTCATCTAAAAAAAACAGAACCGACGAAGTAAAACTATGTCGGTTGCGTAAAGGCTACATGTATGAGGCCCACTCTCACTGCTCAGCGGGGAAGCTCGACCACTTTGCCGCAGATGCGGAGCACCTTTATCCGTGGCCCACGCACTAGCTGAGTGTCAGAAGAACGAGATTGAGCGAAACCGGTAACTTAACCTGAATCACATTCCCCTGGCCTGGCTGTTGGGTGATCCGCCGGTGATCGATCTTCGGGAGATCATCGTCTCTTTTCAGAGGCTTCGAAAACGATGTATATATATATATATATATATATATATATATAACTTTATATATATACTATAAAGATCCAAAGTTGATCTCGAAACGTTCGAATGGAAGGAGTGATGAATATATGAGTAATTTCGTGCGAATCATCTTTAATTTAAGCGAAGACACAGAGTCACAGGCCCGGAAACAAGAACGATGCATCAAAAAGCTCGTCAATGCTGCGTCAGAAGTTATTTTCAATCAAACATGTATCAAAGAAAGAATTCTGCCAAGATATTCCAATATATATATATATATATATATATATATATATATATATAAACTAAAATTCACAGGCTTCTCGGTTCGATGTGTTTCTCTGCACATCATCATACCTGCTTATGTGATACGCTGTTCCCATCAGCAACGCGTGTCCGCGATAAAAAACCTGTTGTTATGAAAAAAACTGCTTCAAGTCCAGTGCTAGAGAGCACCTCGTAAAATGACACCGGGATAGTTTTCATCCGGCTGTCACCCCTCTATGTAGTGCCTATTTCTAGGTGACAACGGCTGCCCATACCACGACCAAAGCTTACCGCGCATATCCATAAGCTGGCTGATTGTCTGAACTTTGTCAAAAATATGAACAGCTTTCAGCACTTTGTTCTACTTCGCGTTAGCTTATAGATATGAAATGATCAGGGTCTAGCGCAATACATTATTTCCTATTAACTTTAACACAGGATCCCACGGCTTGCAAAGTCTCCGACCCCTTTCATTTTCTTTAAAAACGCAGATAACGAGCGCATACCTCTGCTTTTCACAGGACATCAAAACCTGTGATCTCTGGACGTCACAGCATGCCAGATCGATATTCGTTGCGAAAAGATATAGCGCTTGCTGATTGATTAACAGGGTAATCAAACATGTTGAGACCGACCCAAGCCCGCTTTAAACGATTGCACAACATTTTCGGGCAAAGAAGTAAGGCGAAGTATGTAAGTAAGTAAGGAGTAAGAAGTATGTCAGGTCACACCGTGACCTTTCGCAAGAAACTAGGAAGTCAATTTCCATACAAGGGATGTAATGCTGCGTCAAGTGGCGCCAATCACTTGATGGAATGAGGCTCACTTTAGAAGATATACCCATGCATGTTTGACAATCAGTTCTGGCGCAACGCAAAATTTCCCCCTTGACTTTCACACGGAACCCTACGTCCTGAAAAATCCCTCCCCCCTCCCCCCCCCCAGTTTTCTGTTAAGCTTCTAAAAATGTGCAACATCGCAGGTCACGAGGGCATCTCTCGGCCTTCCGCGGCGCATCACTAACTATACCCTCTAGACGTCGCCGCATGCCAGATCGATACTCGCCGTGTTAAAATATGACGCGGAATGAGGGAATTTTATTGGCACATTAGCGACAAAACCCACCCGACGCGCAAATTCTTAACAGCATAAAACTCATCGCACGCGCTACACAGAGACAAAGACTCGTCGCTGTAGAAACGAAGCACGTCCGCGAATGGAACCCTCTCACAAACAGGCAAATGCGCGTGGAACCCGCCATCTGCATTGAGGGCCGCCATTAGGGCGGAGAGCGCAGGAGCATTGAGTGTTTTGCGTGTTGCGGATGAACATTGTTAGCTGTCAATCATGTTGTGCGCAAGTGATGACGCCTGCATTGTGATGTGTATGTAACTATGTTTGCGCTATGCCGATATTACGAAAACCGACGTATGCAGGCATGAGATCCACATTAAGATAACCGTGAGTTTGAATTTTACAAAGGTGGGATTCATCGATTTTGTCTAAAATTCTCACTAGTAAATGTCCAATGAAGGATGACATGTAAAAGAATGCAGCTGATACCACGCCATCCAATATGGCAATCGATATATTCTTTGCAACATGAGCTTTGGTACCATATATATATATATATATATATATATATATATATATATATATATATATATATATATATATATATATATTATCATTGGCCCTGGCGAATGGTGGCCATGATGGGTTACGTCACCCCGCGCCGTCCCAGCGCTGGTCAGCGCTCATTCATTCGGCTCCGTTCAGAGCCGTCGCCCGTGCGGGGCACCGCACAAGTGCCCGGCCAGCAGACCCGCTCAATCACGCCGCCATTGAGCACGTGCGGCCATCTGTCTCCCGCGGTCGGCGATTCCGCCCGCGGCGCCCCAATTACGTCACCAATCCGCTCCGGCGAGATCGGTGAAATGTGGCAGACGTGTCGCACTGCGGCAGCGGGGCCAACCTGTGGTGACACGGCGCAGTGCTGAGCGTACCGGACACAACTTGACGAGCGTTGAAACGCGCCAACGCTTTCAAATGAGCCTCTCTATTGACATTAGGTGACCATACATTGGACCGTGGTCGCTTTAAGGCCGCGGCGTACAAAACAGCATTGCAATAAACTGGGTTCCCGAGCCGTTCTGCACGTCCTAAGCGGGTGGAATCCTGCCACAGCCAGAACAAGGGCGCAGGTAAGGATCCGTTCGTAGCGGAAGCAACGTTGTGATAAGTTAATGACTCAATGTCAACGCTCCACGCTGATTTGAAAGTTTGAATTACTATGACGACCATGGCTGCATGGCAAGAGCACTCTCACACGCGGGTGTGCCAAACTTCCCTGTTTATCGCCAGCAAGAGCACATCGCTTTAACGCCGTCACCTGTCACCGTACCGCGTTAATTTGCAGCAAATTTGTCAGCCTGCCAATGAAAATTGCCTCATCCCCGTCCACCCTTGCTCGGCAGAAGTGAACCTGAATCACAGAACGTGCAACTACGGCAGCGTGTCGGACAACGGCGTAATTGCTACTGGCTTGCAGATATGCAGGATTTGATGCAGCTTAGTTATGCGCGCAACAGGCTATCAGGGCCTGAGAATTGCTAGAAGGGCTGTTAAATGACTGCACGAATGACACGAAAATTTTCAAAAACAGAGTCCTACACGTTTTTCAGGTCACGGAGAAGTCTAATACTCTTTCGCAGGTTGCAAGTGATGACCTTTTCGTCAAGGCCACATCGATCGCGTCTTAATTTCAGGAGCCAAATAGCTTGCGCTGGTTGCGGGCTACGCGTTCCGAAGCAGTTTGCTAAGTTGCGAAATCTTATACAAGGTGGGATTCTCGTGTCACTTAGTACACCCACTTCAAGCTTTTTTCCTTGTCGTACGAAGTCTTTCAGAGGAGAACTTATATCCTTTAACGGAATTTCAACGATGACAAGTACTGATTAAATCACAGCACGGCGCCGGTAACAGTGAACAGCGACGGCACTGGCCAAGTTAGACGCCACAGTTCTCACGTATGTCCGGCCCTGCACACATCAGCCGCCTAATGGACGAGCCACGAGTCCGGACAGCGGACCTGACTCGTCCGACGCGCCTCCACTGCGCTCGGCTCCACCGCACCGCACCCGGCGGCAGCGGACGGCGCCAGGAGGACGGTGAGGAAGACGGAAGTCTTCTTGGGCCGTCTGCAGGCGCCGGCGCTCTGCCCCGGTCAGGCACGCCGCTGCCGGCGGCGCCGCCCCGGGCTGGATCCAGTTCGGGATAGTTCACAGCGGTCCGCGGCCGCCGAGACGGCGAGCCACGGCTACAGGGAGTGTGCCGCGCCGGCGCTCCCGGGACATTTCCAACGCAGCATTCCAGCCACGCGGACCCGCTGGGCATGTCGTATTACCGCGCGCTGAGCATCTTCTTCGCTGCCTGGTGGATGGTGGTGTCCATTTTATCTGAAAAACCATAACAAGATGCAGAAATGGGGGAGCATTTCCTTCATCGGAGCTTTCCAGCTTTCCAGTAAAATATCGGCTTCCAAGTGTGAAACAAGCATCACAACTAACGACGACACAATTACCAGCGTTTATCCACTCGGCCGTTTTTGGTAACGGTCGAGTGACAATGTAATCTGTGGTGAACAGCCCTGCGGTGTAATGTAGCAGTGTACGAAAGGCACAACATTATCATGCTACCAAGCACAAATCCCAACAACCTCAGGTACTCACTGTTACATACAAATCAGTGTATCGATGTCAGTGTCATATGTAATCACGAGATAACAAATATCTGAAGCGCTGGTGAATTTCTGAGTTAGGAGTCCTGTTCCTCCTTTTCCGACGAGCACAACGGTTCGTCAGTGATCGGCGTGCTCCAAACCCACCCGACATAGGTTCGCAGCGACTCAACAGCTCTGGTGAGACAGCTTGCGATATATCCACAAGCTATGTCACGTAACCTATCAACTGCTATCGGCGCATTAATCAAAACGCATCTGGTGGGCCCAATGTATGAAGCACATCAGTTGAAGTCCAATAGACTCCTGAAAGTACGCAAGGTCGCGGACAGGAAAACACAAATCATTCCGAAAGCAATAACCACGATGAACCACGGTGTCGAGGAAACAACAAATCACTCCGAGAGCAATAACGTTATGAACCACAGTGTAAACGAAAACACCAATCACGCCGAAAGCAATAACGATATGAGCCACGCCCGACCGTTGTTGAAGGCTATTGCCAACCCCTTCAGACCTGCCCACCACGGAGCCAGGTACCGGAGGATAGCACAGTATTATTCTTCAGACCTGTCAGGAAGACCCAATCCCCGCTGCACGAGAGCGGCTACAATTCGGAAAGAAGTCACGTAGTTACCTTTGAAACTTTGTTAAAGTTCATGACGAAAGCTGCTTCTCCTGAATCACAAAACTGTCTTTATTTCAGCGTCCACAGACACCGCAAGCCTCTAAAAGTCAACCAGCCTGTTGACTTCCTGTGTTACCTGTGTTACCTCAAAAGACCTGCGTTACTCCCCATCTGCCCCCGCCCCACAGGTCTACGAAACTTCCTTTCCCTCCTATCCTGTTTTCCACACATTTCCGCCACTTTCTCTTCTATTCCCTTCTCCCCAGACCTGTACTACGCTATCCTCTACTCCTCTCCCCTCTCCCCCCCCCCCCCGCCTCTCCTAGACCTGCGTTACTTTCTTCTCTACTCATCACAGACCTGCTTTACTTCCTGATCTACGCTCCATCTCCTTCACCGACCCGCGCTTCTTTCTACTATATTTTCCACCTAGCCCACAGACCTGCGCTGCTTCCTCCTCTACTCTCCCCTCCCTACAGACCTGTGCTTTTTCCTCCTCCACTCTTATCTTCCCTCTGCAGGCCTGCGAAACTTCCTCCTCTACTCTTATCTTACCCTACAGATCTGTGTTACTTGCTCCTCTGCTTTCCCCTCCCGTATTTGTACTACATCCTCCTCTACTCTCCCCTTCCCGCAGACTTCTACTTCCGTTACTTCCTCCTCCACTCGTATTTGGTAACTGGTAGGCTTGTGGGTTGACCAGGGGCCCTATGACTCCCCCCGGCCCTCACTCCTCGCGCCTTCCCAGCCACCCATCGTCCGTGCACGTCTGAAAAACAGCTCCGCGCCCTTGACAATGTCGTGTCGAAGACACTCCGGACGGTGACCTCCGGCCCGTGCCACCGCACACTACGCGCGGGCCGCACACTGACTCAGACGACTGCTCTGTCGGCCCGGCACTCACAGATTTTGTGCTGGCCCTTCATCGGGAACTTAACGAGCAGCTGCTCAGGCTCGCTGCAGATCAGCACGTACGGCGAGTCGCTCTCGCCGTCCGGAAACTGCTCCCTGGGGAAGCCGACCCAGACGTGACCGACACGGCGACACTCAGGCGGTGCCATCAAACCGGGACACCGGACACCGCTGCGATACCACCGCCGTACTGAGACTCGGAACAGGGCGGGACAGGGGACACCACCGCTGAACTGGGGCCCAAACAGGGCGGGACAGGGGACACCACCGCTGAACTGAGGTCCAAACAGGGCGGGACAGGGACACCACCGCCGTACTGAGGCTCGAACAGGGCGGGACAGGGTTCACCACCGCTGAAATGAGGCTCGAACAGGGTGAGACAGGGGACACCACCGCCGTGCCGAGGCTCGAACAGGGCGGGACAGGGACACCACCGTTGACTGAGGCTGGAACAGGGGGGACAGGGGACACCACCGCTGAACTGAGGCTCTAACAGGGCGGGGACAGGGGACAATACCAACTGGGCTAGTCCAGACGCTTCCGCAATCGTATTGACAACGATACAAATGAGTCGGGTCAGATCAGTTATTTAAACACCATATTACGTTATCAGGTGACAGAAATCACTGTTGACGGGTGCGTAAATAGTGTACTGTGGATGTTAAAGCCCTTGTCAAACTGCTCTTTTTCGGATAAATGTCACTGACATGAAAAGTCCTTTAAGTGTTATTTGTGAAGCATGCACCAGCGCAATGTTTCAGAAATGTTTGGTCAAAATTGGATAGCGCAGAGCGGGTCTTTGTTACAGAGCGCAGCGCTGTCCACTGAACTCTGCGCTCTGTCGACGAACGCTTGGTCACCTCTGAAGGGCACTGACAATCCCACACGGCGCCTGCTGACTCAAGTGAGAATTCGCAAACGCACCCCCTGGCCTTCTGCCAAATGAAACCGGGCACCAGCTAGCAAGACATAAATTACGTGCCCATGATGCATTTCCCCTGAAGTGGAGGTACTGTAATCTAGTTATTTCACGGAAATCTTATCAAGTCTGCTGGCAAAATCAATAGCAAATACAGCTCACAGGTCAAGTTACCGTGACCCCCTCAAATAGCAGACTGGCGTTGACAAAACAGTGGTTCCGCAACGCCGGCGAGGATGTGGCAGAGCGACGGCAACCATACGTGCCTGCAGAAACCCCTTTGTTTGTTCGTTGGTGTATTTCAGGCCAGTTATAGTAAATACTAAACACGGCCGAACATCGTAACGAACACAGGGGCTTTTCCGCCATAAAAAAACAATCATCGTTTGCTCGCAAGCGTAGCTGCCTTTTGCCCAGCATACCACTTCCAAAAAAGGGGAGAGCTGCGTAAGCCAGCACCCCAGTGAACGAGGAAGTCTGACGTCGCCGCTCCGAAGGTTTGGCAAACATAATTTGTTTTTAGAACCACCGAGCACGAAGGTCACAAATGACGTCATTACGATCGACCGCACGAGAAGGGCCGGAAACGGCCCCAGACACTGGAGAAGGACGCACAAACACTCTAAAAAGCTAACCCACAAAACAAGAACGAGACTGGAGAAATGAGGCACGCCCAGAATATGTCTACATGGGCGAGTTATTGGCAAAGGGAGTTAACGCGCAGGAACAGCTAAATATTGTCGAAGTTAGGGACGGTATTCCAACACATCAAACACTTCGAAAAAAGGCGAAAACAAAGCTGGAGGACTTTAAGAGCAATGCTGCGCTATGGCAGTGAAAGCGAAGACGCAATCGTTGCTTAGACCACATAGTCGTTGCAGTTTTACGCCAAGCATAAACTGCAGCGCCGAAGCTAACGCCTGGAGTGGAAACTAGAGCGTGCATGAGAAGCGAGCAAGCTTGGGAATGTAGCCCTGACGACACTCACTGGTATACTTCCTGCGGCAGGCAGTCCAACACGTTCACACGTCCCAGCAAGCAGCCGGATGGGTAGAACTCGGGGAAGCTCAGCTGTTGCCTGTCGACACAAGACGATCAGGCACAGCCGATAATGACAGCAGGTAGGCCCAGGT